AACATGTGGCATCTACTAAAAACGGAACAGAAATGTAAAACAACTACATAATAATGCTGCATAACATGAGGGTGACAACAGAGGATCCACCAAGCCAAAACAGAAACTGGCCACAGCTGAAATTAAAGACACCATCACTGAATATTGGAATCCAAAATCTGCGAAGTAAATGAAAAATTTCTCCTGTCCAACCTGACCATGAGCCAAATGCACTTAGACAACTAGTGCTTCTTTGAAAGGAACGTTATGTACAAAACACTTTAAAATATTTTTCTGGAATGAAATATATGCTTTTTGATTCAGTGAATAAAAATGTGAATGAAATATGCAGCGTCTACATCTGCCTACATATAGTCCGTATCTCCAGTATTAGACAGTGTATGCTCTTAAATTTTTTTTGTAAATGTGATAATTCTCATCACTTACATATTTTCAGTAGACAATAGTTAAATCTCTTGACACCTTCATGTCAACCAAAATAAGCAGCAGGGTGGCTGCCAGCACAGGCAAACAGAAAAAACAATTTCTCCTGTTATTATTTATAGCTGCATTTCTTTACCATCATGCGCGTTCTAAAAGTGGATCATCCACTTTCACGTTTCAGTCAAACACGGTATTTACAGTCTGAATATGGGTATATAAGGGGTTTTTGTCAACGGAGCTGTTTCCAATTCACCTAGCTTATTGTTCACAGGCAGAAAGTGTGTTTCTAGTTGTGATGGATTTTGTTTGTCAAAAGGAAAAGAATAGCAATTTACATCATTTTGTCTGAGCTACATACCCAGATATCAGATGGAGCTGATGGAACAAGGAGACAGCATAGGCTGAGTCTAGCAACAGCTGCTTGACCTCAGCTACACAAGGCATCAACAAGACTGCTGTGTTATGACTTCACATCATCTTTTTTCCCTGATGCTAAACCAAATAGAAATAATGCTAAAATTTAATTTTCTGGAAGGGTTCATAACGAACTTCAACTCAGGAAAGGCAAGGGAGTCACAAATCAGCTACTTGTTGTCGTTAGTAACAAGTGAAAACATTTTTTTCTAGCATCTGCAGGATCTGTGCTAATTTTGTACCGTGTTCTTGTCTATTTATACTTATTAGGAAAGTGTTAACGTGCAATTATTTTAAAATAGAAGGCTTTGATTTTTTTCCCATTAACAGGAGCTGCTGTGGAAATCAGCAGCACAGCACTGGGGCAAAAAGACAGCTAAATTAAGCCTGGTGCATCCAGCTTATACTGACTTCTTTGACTTTACAGACCTGTGTGAAACAAGATACTGTAATTCAGGTTTTCCTTGATTCTGGAAATTATGAGAGGCTGTAGGCCACGGTGAGATCTCTGTTTGTATCAGAGTATTTCACTTCTGCGCAAATGTATAAATTTATTGGTATACCTCAGTTTATCCAGGGTCTTCTTGTAAAAAACAGTGATTTTGGAAGTGTTTCTGGAACAGTAATCTTTCAATACTTCAGGATTTATTTTCTGGGCATTAACACCATTTAACTTCATAACAGCCAGGCAGCAAACTTCCCTCATGGCTTCTACATGAGAGCCTGCCCCAAAACCATTTGCTCCCTGTGAGAAGGCCTTGAAGCTGTTATCACTTTGCTAAAAGGTTCAGTTTGCCCAATCCAAAAATTTGAGCATGGGAAGGTTTTCCAATATTAGCCTGAGTCTGCTACCAAGGAGGAGAAAGATGAGATAAAAGAAGAAGTGAAATACTCCATTTTGGAGAGATTATAGAAGAAAGAAATCTCTGGAAAAGAGGCAAAGTCACAAACGGCACCGAAGGCAATCCTGACAAGCAAGGAGTTGCTGGGATAGAAAGCTAGTCTGCAGGTTGAAATACACTTCCAAAACTAGTCTTGAGATAGCTGGAAATTGAAATTATAATCTCCTTAGAGAGAAGTGACAAGAAGGAAGAAAATGTGCATGTTTGAGGAAGGAACTAAAATCGTACCCTTTGCTCTGGCGGGCACGTGCTTCACAGTATGTGGGGCAGGCGATGAATGCTTCGCTGCAGTTGAGACAAACTGAGCTGCCACAAACCTCTCCTGCCCATATTTCTTACCTCGCAGCTCAGCAGAGTGAGTCACGTTGCTGTCTTGCCAGATTTCTGGACAGGTCATTTAGACTCGACAGGCTCAGTTCCCTGTCCGTAGAACTGGGAGAATGACACTTCCTCACCTCAGAGAAGCGCTCTGAGGAAAAATGCTGGAGCAGTATTTAGGGGTGGCGATGACAGAACCTATACGAACGCCTAAGGCAGGAACTTTGTGCTCTCTATGGAAGTATCAAAGATGAGCATCTTTCATGTAGACAGGATGCACAACGAACAAGAGATGGAAAGACTCAAAGTATTATGTTTACTCCTCACACACACATTTGCTATTATTTTCTCTGTACTTCCTTCAGGCTATGGTGGCACTACTGAAATAACTATATTCCTGCCACCTCAATGGGTGATGGGAAACAAGAGGAAACTTCTTTTATTTTCCCTTGTGCCTACCGACAAGCCAAATATTTTCATTACTGAGGCAGCTGGTGCTGGAGCTATGTTTCTTTCCCCAGAAAGGGCAGAGGGAAGGAATCTGGGGCAGCTGTCACACTACAACGCTTCACAAAAAAAGCAAAGGAGAACAGATTCAGACATGTGATTCCAGCCTGTTTTCTAAGACATACACAATGAGATGCACAGCTAAGAGCATTGCTTTGGAAAGGAGCTTTGCAGAATACAACCATTCCCACGTCTGCATTTTCAAATCACGGGGCCAGTGAGTTGCATTCTGAAAGACAACAAACCCGGCCAGGGCAATCAGCGGCTGCCTGGGATGCAACAGGTTCTTAAAAACAATAAACAAAATACAAAAACAGGCCCAGGAGTAATATCCTGAACTGTGCTGACTTTGACTCATAGAACGGTTTGGAAGGGACCTTAAAGACCATCTAGTTCCACCCCCCCTGCCATGGGCAGGGACCCCTTCCACTAGACCAGGTTGCTCAAAGCCTCATCCAGCCTGGCCTTGAACACTTCCAGGGATGGGGCATCCACAGCTTCTCTGGGCAGCCTGTTCCAGTGATTCACCACCCTCTCCGGGAAGAATTTCTTCCTGATATCTAATCTAAACCTCCCCACTTTCAATTTAAACCCATTACCCCTTGTCCTGTCACTACAGGCCCTTGTAGCCCCCTCAGGTACTGGAAGGCTGCAATAAGGGGGCCTACAAGACCTTCCATTCCTTAGGGACATCATCCTGCCCTGCTCCCCTTCCACAGATGTCCTGATGCTCACCACCCCTGGGAGCTGCATTTACCTGTACAAAGGTTGGTCAGGTCACTACCCCTGATAGCCAGTACCTACTCTTCTCGGTAGTAACAGTTTCAGGGCATGCCAGCACCGCCCTCGCCCCCTCCTCCCCGCCTTTCTTTCTGTGGGAATTGAGGAAAATTTAACAACATACTGTGCAATGGGAAGAATGTAAACGGTAGCCTAGTGTCTTTTCTTTAAATGACCTAATGTCATTATGCGTTCTGCCTACAGACAGCCCGGGAAGCGCCACTGCGACTGCTGAGGTGTACTGCTGATGTTCATTAGCAGTTTGCTACTTACTACTCAGAATAAATAGGCAGAATGTTCCCTGGAGCCAGGACACAGACAACATAACCAAGAGGCAAACAAGTATGTTGAATCTGAAGCGGTGGTCACACTTTATTAGATCTGTCAGTAATCCTGTCACTCTGCAGGAGGCACCATCTGAGCTCAGGCAACCCAGTAATGCCCCATTAATCCCGCCTAACAAGTCCGAGATGATAGGTGGTGTAACTAAGAAACAAAATCGAATATAAAAATCTGCATTAAATAAACACCATGCAGTTTATTCAGACACCCTCAAGGAAGGAACCTGGAGTCAACCAAATACGATAATCTTATCAACTGCATCCTAAATGAGGCCTGACCCACGAGGGTAAGTAATTTCTGCAGAAGCATAGATGATAGTGTGTATGCTGATGCTTCTATGACAGAAATGAGAACTTTTCTTACTTATTTTAGTATGAAAATCATAATGGAAATACAGGCATTGTAAAATAGGATAATGAAAAGATCTTAAGATTGTTTATTTGTAGCATTAAATTAATGATGTTAGCAATCAAACAGAATGAAATCACAAAGTGGAAAAAAAAAATCTAGCTTCTCTTTTGTATGTTAAATTGATAGCTTAGTGGCCAAGGGATAAAAATCTCCAAACATTTCATACTGGTACTGTTTGACAGCATTTCTGTATTTCTGGAAAAAACCAACCAACCAACCAACCAACCAACCAAACTTTGAATTTCATAAGGGAGAATATCCAAGCAATCTTGAAAAGATCAGATTCTACTACATAAAGAAAAGAAACAGACTCTCCCACTACCTGCACGCCCTGTGTCTAACATGCAGAACATAGCATGCTATCAGATTTCAAAAAAAAAGTATTCAGAAAATGACATCCATCTCTCCACCATACTTTTCCAGTTTCCTATCAGAAACACAAGAAAGGTAAAAAAAAAAAAATCCCAACCAAATCCTCCTCCTCACTCCACAGGATATAAAAGAAATGAATAGAAGCTTCTAAGAAAATTCAGTAAAATCCAACTTCTGCTTATGCAGCCCTACACAAGCCAGGAGGGAGAGTAGAGGGAGAACAGAGGATTCCCACCCCAGTGTATCTGTGTGTGGAGCACATCTCCTGCAGGAACATTCATGGCTAACCAAGCATAGTGACCAGCAACTCTAAGTGTAAACCATGACGGCGTCTGTAAACTGCGTGCATAATACTGAACATAAAGCTATTCACACACTACGTATATCCACAGGGCTCAACAGCGTCTTGTTACCGCAAAGAAGATGGTAGCACAGTAAAGAATTACCGACGGTGCAAGTGGCACACGGCACAGAACTGTGCTTGCAGAGCCTCCTATAGACTTTGAATACGAAATAATGAAAGATTCAAACCTGTGACCAGCTCTCTGATTTCCAAATCTGTGGTCTTGCGGAGTAACCGTACTAATGCTGGGATGCCACCACAGTTTTTCAGAGCAATTTTGTTGTCATCGTTTGCCTTCCCATATACCAAGTTTCTCAAAGCTCCACAGGCACTACGGTGGACTTCTGTCATCCGATGGTCCAATAGGTCCACCAGTAATTGTATTCCGCCTTGTCTTCTTATCTGAAACAGTCCAAAGTGACAATCATAAAATTAGGGAACAAACACCAGCATTATATATGCTACTCAATATACCTGAGCTGTGGTTTATGCAGGCTATGCTCCAGCAAAGGTGTGCTGGTAGCCCCACAAAGCTGCTATAGTCCACTGCTTTGATTGCCATCGTTAGTTTTTCAGTGGAAACAAACCTGGACCTCTCTAAAAGCAGCCAAAAGCAAGCTGAGAGTGTTGCTTCATCAAGACTACTCAACGTTCAGCAAGGTTTGCCTTGGCAAGGGTTTCTCCTGCACTGGAGAAACATCATCTGCTTCGGAGCATAACCCAACACAAGCTAGAGGAAAACCCACAAGACTACAGCAAACCAAAAAAAGCACTAAATGCAATGAAGTTTTTAAGAGTTCCTCCCTTTACATTTAATTGCTTGGAATGTGAGCAGCTACTGCAATCTCTGTAAGGATGTTATATCAATAAAACTGGGAAAAGCAAAGATGAAAGGAAAAGGAGGAAGGCTGCACAAACATAAAGGATGACGGATGGATCATGGAAAGCTTGTTGTATTATGATTGAGAGAGATCCTTAAGTGATGCAGCAGTCGAAGTCTTGCTCATTCCTAGGACAGCCTGCAAAATAAATTTCTAATGTAGTATCTTATATAAAATATCACTCTAGAAAAAGCACAAAAAAGTTTGAGGCAAATGATCAAGGCAGTGAAGAAAACCAACAACAATTTATTATAAAATTCGTTTGCAACAAATCCATCATTATTGTTCTCTGGCAGTAGTTACTCCTCAGACAGTAACCAGTTTTGTATCTAATTTTAAGAAACTAGACTGATTCATTACTAACATCCAAGGACTACAATGCTTTAACCTCAAGGAAGTTCCACAGACGTCTCTGCCAAAAAGTTTCTCCATGTGTGTTTTGGCTAAGGCACAAAGCAAGCCAGCTGGCCATTCTACTACCTCAAGTAATATTTTCCCCAAAACATTACAGCAGACAGCTATTGAGTGTTTTCAAAAGTGCAGGCAAAGGTGAAACATGAATTTAACTTTCTGCTGACAAAGTTCTGAAATCTTTGTGTAGCTGTTTTTTGCACGAGCATGCGTCCTTGGGCCTCTTTGCTGTGGGGAGTTTTGGGAGTAGGAAACGCTTAAACAAAGCACACTAAAATTTATTAGAAATTGTTTAAGTACAACCAACGTATGGCATTTCATAAATCTAACACAAGCTTCATTGCAACTGAAGACTGAAAAATGATTCAACCTTTGAGGTTCCAAAATGGGGCTATAGGAAATTACTCATTGATAAAACAGAAGTTCTCTCTTTCTCCTTCCAGCTCATCTGGCGTATTCCTATTTTTGTAACAACATCAAGACCCAGTGATAAAGTAGTTTGGTAGTTAAAAAGTGTATATACTGAGACATTACAGTATTAAAGAGTGATAATGTGTATACAGCTTTGGGCCAAATGTCAAAGTGATGTTGTTTAAAGATAAACTTAAATATTTTTCTTTAAATAGACATTATATCAGTAGATCACATCCAACTTTCTGAGCAACATACAGCAGCCGGCACTACATGGTGAGTGCAGAGATGTGAATGGATGTTGGTACAATCTATCAGCTTCAGGTGAAAGGGTTCATTAAATTTTTTGAGAGCCCCTGCTTCTACTGCTCAGAGAAACCATGACATCTTTCAGTTGAGAAACCAGAAAAACAGATCAAAGAGGAAATGTGTTGCAATACATCTCACTGGTCAAAACTGTGCCCATGGGAACAGGACGACATGCAACGAAATTGTTTGCTCCTTGCCATGCCAGGAGAAAATTACCAAGTTAATCTGGGAGGGGAAGGGGGCAGGGTCGTTTGATTGCTTCTTTTTACAATCCATTACCATTTAATCTTCAGATTAAAATATGTTCCCTCCCTCTAATAACCGGATTCTCAAAACCCAGCACACTACATGAAAACCACCTACATAACAAAATAGATAACATCTATTGAAAAAGACTAGGAACAAAAATTTATGCATCAGTCCTAGAAAAAGGTGAACCAACCACTGAAATTCACACATCAATCTCCAAAAAGAAACAAGATCTGATGGAAAAAAGAACGTGGTTAAAAAATACATGAGTTGTTCTGGTCTGATGAGTAATACCAGGAACAACAGAATGAAAACTCGCCTGCTGATCGTTGTGTTTTGTATTTTTAAAGCACAATATGCTGAGTGACTATTTCAACTGCTTCACTGAAAAAAAAGATTATGAATGAGAAAAAGTATTAACTTTGTAGCAAAAATAATGCCATGCACTACAATTCATCTGAAGACTCAAAGGGTTCTGCCCCTCCGTTCAGACACACGATATGCCTGTACTGTTTTCACGCTCTCCCCCTCGGACACAGCCAAGTGGCATCTCAGGCTCCTTCGTAGTTTCTCCTGCAGACACTCTCAGGTGACAGGTTTTGCTGTCTTCTTCTCCCTTCTAAGGGAAAATGAGGTTCTGCCACGTTCAGCTGGTATTCCTGAGCTGTACCTTCCCTTTTCAGTCATGGTGTCTGACGGCACACTAGTATACAGATGATGGTTGGAATCCATCCAGGATCCTGAAGTCAGCAGCAGACCAAAGTGAATCAAGGATACGTTCTTAAAAGCAAGGGCGTTAAATATTCATCTAAAAAGCATTTCTGTCAGAAAAAGATATGGCTGATAACAACAGAAATTAAACGGATGTTACATAACACTTTGCCTAATGACAAAATTTCTTAAATTCTACTGAAGAAAGAACCTATTCTTACCAGGGAAAGACAAGACTTAATTTGCAAACTTTCTTTGAATTTCCAGGCTGAGACACTTGGCAAAATAGCTCTGTCAGGCAGGCAGGGATGAAGCTCGTTCTTCACACCTAGGAGCTCAGTTCCTGATGCTATTAGTTATCTGGATTACTGTGTTGCTTTGTATTTGTTTTTCCAACAGCCCATTATTCCCCGAAGTCTCACCCCATCTTTGTGTTTCCATCACATAATTATACAGCTGTTCAATACCACATTCTTCAGCAGGTTTAACTATGCCTGACAAATTGTGAGACTGTGACGAATGTTATCTGTATCTATTTACATTTTTGGAAACTGAGGCAAAGGAAATGAAATTGTTCAAGTCCTTTACGGAGTCAGAGCCGCAGCCTGGAGGACAATGCTGGCCTAGCGAGTCTCTTGGGGTAGATCTCAGCTGAGCTAAGTTATCACGGCTCCAGTGAGCTCAGCAGTGCTTCTGCCAAACGTCTTTGCCAAGATAACCAGGATGGGTGGATAAACAGCAATTTGCACCAATGGGGCATGAAATCCCACTTCCCCAGAGGACTTTCGACAAGACATTTCTGTCTCTCTCTTGACTTTATATGAAGAGAACATTTCTTAATGTAATATTTATTGACCCATCAGCGGCTGCTGCCCTGCTACATCGAGAAGAAAAAGAAAGCAACACGCCGGAGTCCGCTTGCCTGTTACAACCAAATAATCAGCACAGTACCAAGTTATCAGGAGATACAAGAGACCAACTCTGTTCCCACAAAGGCCAATCCCACAATACCCACTTCTGAAGTCAAAAGAATGATGTTCAACTCTGGAGCACAACTGAGTCATATCGTAACATTTGTTCATCCTTCCTGGGATAATATATTGTCCCTTTTTCACTCTGTCTCTTTTCAAAATTAAAAAAAGAGGATCAGACTAAAAGTGTTAAAAATACTGGATGAATCTGTGTTGCAGTGTTTCTCATGACTCTTAATCCATGGACACCACTAATTTCTGAATGTTCTTTCCTTTTCTTTTTTTTCCTTGCTAGAGATATTTTGTGTACGTCTTCAGAAGATGCTGTTAGAGAGCATTTAAATAAATAAAACAGGCTGCATTCTTTCACACAGGGCGTTAGGGAGTGTATAGCAAATCCTGTCAGGACCAGAAATCCCAGCATGCATAAGCCTGATTTCATTCTGTTGAGCTTTCCTAACAAATTAGGAACCTCTGTGTAATGTAAACCTCTGCTGACCAAAGTAAAAACTGAAAGAACAGAGATTAAATGAATTATGCTATGAAAAATTCTCCATCCAAGAATGCACAGACTTGCTTTTGTCTGACGAATCATCTGTTTTCTGTTTCCAGGAAACTCTTAAACTTTTCTTTTTGAAGATGGCTCTCTACCATTAGTGTTACTGTCTCTGTTCTGGTCAGAACTTGCCCTGGTCAAGTCAAGTCCCATGATGCCATGACACAGACTGTTGGGACAGGAAAAGGTGCCAGACTCTCTGGTCCACAGATTAACAGGAATGCACTCATGGTCAGCTTGATACCAGACTCTTCTCCTCTGGCACCGTGTGAAGTTTGGTTTTGCATTGCATCTGAAAATGTTTGTATGCATGCTATGCAGATACAGGGTGACTTTACACTTGAGTAGGGGTTCAGACCAGTGCTGGAGGCAGTGAAGATGTTAATTATGTTCCTAATAAGGAGAGCCTGGATGTCTCATACCAAGACCCTTTGAGAAATGCAATTTATCAGTTTCAAGGCTGACCTTTGATTCAATGGTGTTTACCACAACAAATTTTCCATGCCAGTGGACTGTTAGACATTTAATCTACCAGGAATTACACGTGACCAGCCTGAAGCATATGCACCAGTAAAACAAGTCAATAATACATCGACAACATGTCTGAAACAATACAGAAATACTTTATTACTGTATGATTTTAGCATATGAATTACTTGACAGCTTGCTTTTCTAATTCGATACAGGAGATTGGATGGATGTGTGGAAAGGAAAGCCATGTAGGATGTGAAGGATATGTAGATGGCTGGAATGTAAAGACATCTGTCTTGTGAGGAATCTGGTCATGGGCTGTCCAGCATACAAACAGAGATGAGACAGGCAAAGCAATAAGCCACACTTAGGCAAGCAAAAACCCTACAGAAGAAGAGCCAATACCAAAGACCAAGTCTGTGAGGTCACAGG